TTCTGCTTGTGCACTTAGTTCTTGCTATTTCACTCAGAGAGCCACAGAACGAATTCCTCTTGGTGCAGAAAACACTGCTTCATGATATAAGGAAAAGGAAAGTAAAAATGAAAAGCCATTCTACTAACAGAACAGACTGCCTTTGGTAGAGAAAGAGAAAGCTGGTAGTGCAAAGCAAGAAACGTTACTCTCCAAAAACCCTTGGTATGGCAAAGCAGCAGTCCTGCTGCAAGCCTGCAGCTTGCTCAGCAGCCCTTGGCCTGGCTGCCTACATACTCTGAAGGATCGAATTTTGGGCAAGGAGCAGCCAACTCCAGCTGATGCCAACAGCATGACTCTGTGTAGGATGCCAGTGGTGGAGAGGAGCCTAGGGAAGCTTCTGTTGCAGTGAGAGAATTGGACTCTGGGCTGACACAGCACATGGATGCTGTGCAAGGAAACAAATCCAGGCAAGGGACAGTGTAGCACTGGGTTATTTCTGTTCTATTTACGGTTGGATAGGATGATCCTGGAAGTCTTTTCCAACCTTGGTGATTCTGTGATTAAATACCCCCAACAGCTTGGAGCAGAGAAGTGATGCTGGCTCTGGAACAGGCCGTGGAGCAGGAAAAATGACTCCTGCACATTGGATAAGCCCCCAGAATACAAAGCTGCCTCTGAGAGGTACCCAAGTGATTCTGCATTCAGTTATCAGAAGGATGGCTGCAGCTCGCTGGGGTTGGCACAGTGAGCAAAGCCTCCACATTTCCGTGCAGCTCACCAGCCACAGGTTCACTTGATGGCGCACAGTGGAATAGTTTTTAAAACAAGATTTGTCAAGTGAACTTTTATGCAGATGGTGATGAAGGTTTTTTTTTTTCTTCCAGCCTTAACAACCCATGAATATAAACTCTTCCCGTTGGAATTATCATCACATTTCAGAACTCGCCCTCACAGGAGCTACACTGAAGCACTGATATTGCTCTGTTAAAGCCAGTAATGCTGCAGTGCTTCAAACAGCTGAGGAAAAGCTCCACGAATGTACCTCTGCTTTGTGTTTACTGGGAACACTATGCAGCTTTAATACAAGATCTGAATGCATCTCAACAAATGCCTTCTGGAAAGGGCCTCACGCTTGGCTCTTGGATAAAAGGAAGAGATTTGAAAGGTCAAGTAAGACAACTAAATAACTTCTCCTTAAAGTCACAAAGGCGAAGTTCTGCCATTGTCCTTCAAGCACCAGCATACAAACAAAAGTTTGGGACTAAAGCAGCAAATCCTTCACAACAAGCAGCATGTACTTCATAATGAAAACTTACAGAGCAATTTGCTGGTAATTTGTGTCACATAGCAGCCAGAATCAACCCTTTCTGTTTAACATCCAACAAATTAGAATCGTCCAGGGCAGTAATTCTGCCTGCAAAGCGAACCCTTTTAATGTCAGACATCCATGGAGGCATTACAATCCAGTTCCCACAGAAACCCCAAGGCAGCTGTAGGATTTTTATTTGTGCTTTGGCTAACAGATCCTCCTCAGTGAATGATGCACAAGCTTTTATCATTGTGAAGACACATTACAAGAATTAAAATGCAATACCTGCATGCAAATTAAACGAGGTACAAAAATAGCTGCGATGGGGTCTTTCTAATGACTTCTATGACAGATGTAGGCATGATTAATGACGATGCAATAATGCCTGAGCTGAAGTTAATCACGAACACATCACTTAATATTGACAAAGAGGAAATGAATGATATAGAGGCACCTACACCCAAGAACAGAGCGCGTGTTAACTTCCTGGTGAGGCTCAGGCAGAGGTGATGCTCCATTCGTAAAGCTGGATCCAAGTCACCTGTGTGAGAAGGTGTGAGACCTACAAGGCATGGGCCTGGCCATGTATCAAAGGCATAGAATACATTAAGACCCCTTGAGTCTACAGAATAACTGGAGATGCTTAAATCCCATGGCTCACTCAACTGAACTGGCAATTAGAAGAAGCTGCCACGCATCTTCATGACTTCAGAAGTGAACTCCAGCATTTTGGTGTGAAGCCTGTAACTCAGTTCTGGGTTGGAAGACACGGACTTTTTCAGAAGACACCTCAGCTCAATTTAAAGATTTCTGGCAGCAAACTTGTCTTCATAATCATAATTCAGTTGCTCACGTGACTAAAAGAAAACCGTTTCATTAGAAGATCATCTACCTGCTTTCAGAAATTAACTACTCAAAAAGCGACATGCACAGTACATCCAATTCATGCATTTTATTTTCTTGACTAAATTAAAAAGGATGAGCAATTCAAGTCTCCTATGGCAAGGCAGGTAGAAAGCAGAGATTCCTTGTTAGATGTGTAGCCTAACCCTGCATACCACTGCAGTCAGAACCCACACAGCTGGTGGGCACATGTGCACCAACAAGGGATGGCACCAGCAGTCATGGCTCATCTGGGCCAGCAGCAGCAGCTTTACCAGCACTATTTGTCTCTGAAAAGCACAGATCACATTGAGGAAATGGAGATATTGTCACACACCAGCAGCTCACTGTGAGCTCCCAGAGTGGGAAAGAGGTGAGCGTAGAACTGAGCTGGCACACACTGCTGCTGCCTATGCGTTTAGAAGGCTGTTGGAAAAGTGGAAAGTCAGAAAACAATCTGATCAAGGAAGCAGCCTACCAGAAGGAGAAAGACAGCTTCTCAAAGCCAAGATAAAGAAGTGACTGGATTGCACTTGAGAAACATGTCCTCAGTGTCAAAGTGCCACATCCTGTAAGGGTGCTCAAATACACAGGGAAGGAAGGAGAAGTGGAAAGAAACAGAATAGATATGGATGTGGGCAAATTCAAGGTAGGTGGAAGACAGACTTTAACAGGAGGACTAGTAGAAACAAATATATGCTTACTACAGAAAGGAAACAATGGATTCACTTTTCCTTAGCATCAGACCGAATTACTGACATAAGTCACTGACACAATCGGTGACACTGAGGGCAGCAGTGCACAGGAACCCTGACTGAATGATTCAGCTGTGCATTTTAAACACCGTGCCACATCCCTCCAGCTGCTCCTGGAGCTCTCTGCAGTTTTCCCAGCTTGAGGCATGAGAGCCAGAGCCCACCAAAGCCAGCCAGCTGCGGATGCGGTGTTCCCATGGCTACAGCCACACCACCAGGCACATCCACACTGAGGCAGCTCAGCTCCCCCAGGGTCACCTCCATCCCCATGGAGCGTGGGAGCACGAACTCCCTGGTGATGCTGCTGCCTGTCCAGCACTGCCATCCCACATCATCAGGGCTGGAGTTTCCCCAAGAAGCACAGAGGCTGCTGCTGCTGCCTCAGATACAAAGCACAATGTGAAAAATACATAAGGAGAAGAGGCAGAGAGCAGACACAGCAAGTGAGGAGCAGAGTACATCCAGGAACACCCGGGGGAGATTTCTGCACAATGTTTTGCAATAAAAAGGATTTTTCATCTGGATGGGAGAGGTAAATAGATGTACTGGGGAGAGCAGAAAATATAGGAATGTGAACATAAAACAAGTGTATGGACTTAAAATAACCCAGAGAAAAAATTTTACTGCTGCTCTGGACAACGTTTGCAACAACCTTTATTTGGCCTGAAACAGGTATCAGTTTTTCCATCCGTGTATTTTATTTCTCTTGTGAGCAAGGTCACTATATAATCAAACAGGGTTTTGTGCGGTTGATCTGTAGCAAAGAATTACCAGTAAGAATACAAATTCATTTATTTCTACATCCTGGCTGCCTCCATCCCTGGAGCCTTCGGACCAACCCATGGGCAAATGTCCCAGCACTCAGCCACTGCACATTGGTACCTTGGGGCCTCCATCTCCTGCAGGGGCTGAGGCATAATACAAACCACAGCTGCACTGAAGCTGACCCAACTGGCCATTACACAGCCAAGGTCACCACTTGAAATGCAGAGGTCAGGGACTTAAATTCTGCAGCTGGCTCAGCCTTGGACACTGTTAAAGCCATGAAAAACAAGAGGGAACAGGCTCTGAACTGCAGGGCACATTGCCTTGCAGGCTGCTAAGACAAATTCTAGCAAGCTAAAAAGAATACGTAAGAAAATAAGCAGGTGAAACACTGGTGCCAGAAGAGAACAGCTCATAGACAGCCCTGCAGAATGGGCTCCAAAAGGGAATTTATTAGAGCAGAGCTTGTTTGCTAAAGAAAGCCTGTTCTCAATCAAGACAGCTGCCTCTCCCTCAGAACATTCTTCAGGGCTGATGAAGAACACAGGAGCAGAAGATGCTCTCTGCAACACAGCAACCAGTCTTGGGTGCATCTAATCTGAATCACTTGCCCTATGTTTTGTAAATCTCGGATGGCGGCACACAAATTGGAAGTGAAGAAATAACAGGTTTGGTGCCTATAGCTCATGGGAAAGAAGCTTCAGCCTGCTCTGAGCAGGAATTGCACTGCTGAGCACTGAAGATATTTAACTGCAGCAGCATATGTTAGGACACAGCAAATGAATCACTCGCCAGCTCTGGTTAACAAAACTCCTTGAAAATTGGCCTGGTGGCACCCTGGACCCTTCATACTGGTAGAAATCCAGAGAAGGGCCACTAAGATGGTCAGAGGGCTGGAGCACCTCTCCTATGAGGAAAGGCTGAGGCTTGTTCAGCTTGGAGAAGAGGAGGCTCCGGGGAGACCTCATGGTGGCCTTGCAGTACTTGAAGGGAGCAGATAAACAGGAGGGGGAATGGCTGCTTGTGAGGGTGGATGGTGATAGGACGACGGGAATGGTTTTAAAGTGAGACAGGGGAGGTTTGGGTTGGATATGAGGAGGAAGTTTTTCCCCCAGAGGGTGGTGAGGCACTGGCACAGGTTGGCCAAGGAGGCTGTGGATGCCCCATCCCTGCAGGCATTCAAGACCAGGCTGGATGTGGCTCTGGGCAGCCTGGGCTGCTGGTTGGTGACCTGCACACAGCAGGGGTTGGAGCTGGATGAGCACTGTGCTCCTTTGCAACCCAGGCCATGCTGTGATTCTATGATATCTCACTTGCAACAATACCATTCCTATCTCCTCAACTTTCTATTTACAGCTTTCACAGTTTCAAATAGTAATTTCTACCTGGGATGTTTCAAATGGATGAAAACTCCAACGACTTGCCTTTCATCACATGCATGCGTTACCAAAAACACACCAAAATCATCATGTGAATTAGGGAGAGAGACAAATCATTCACATGGCTAAATAACCTCAGCAAATACTCAAGTACGTTTGGACTCTCCTGTTTCATGATGATCCCTTCACCTCCTGCCATGCTACGAGCACGCAGGCTGTGCTAACCATGGCACGTGCTGCGTGCCAATGCTCTCAACCTCTTCCCTTTATGCCACTTCACTTTGTATTCAATGAGTCCCTGCTACAGACTAATTCTAGCCTGATATTCAGGATGCTGCCCAAGATGTACCATACCTGGGTCTCAGCAGTTACACAGAGCTTATTTATATAGTGAAACACTTCAGAAGAAGACAAGGCCTCCTTCACACCTGCCAAAGTACCCAGATGCCATCTGCTGTATTAATTGTACTTGGAGATACGCAACAGGCAGAAAACCTTGGATAGGAGAGAAAATGGCATTGCAAATGAAGGCCTCTGACATGGTTTTATAAGATGAGAGAGAAAAACCACTTCCTCCCACAGGCATGCTGATTTAGTCCAAATTTCAGTTTCTTAATTTTACTGGGTTTTTTTTTTTTTTTTTTGTTTTTTTTTTTTAGCTGAGGCAAAGTTGTTTGGTGCCTTCACTGAAAATTCAGGACTCATTTCTACTTCCAGCCTCAGGGAAATATTGATACTTTCAATTTTTATTTTTCCAGATGCAATTACGTCTCTGCTGACCCCATCCAAACCCTTCACTCAGTAACACCTGGGTGATTGCTGCCAATGGTGCTCTGGCATCATGCAATGGGGACATGCAGGATATTATGGAGGTCCTGGAGCATCCCCATTATAACAGGGTCCTGCAAATAGGAGAGGCTGATGGAGATGGCAGAGCACTGGGAAATGATGGAGGACCCTGGACAGGAGCAACTGAGGGTGTCTCACGTAACAAGAGCCAAATCAGCCCAGCAGATGCTTCTGATTGTGATTTAATGACCTATCCTGTACACTGCAGGGTGACTCCATCAGAACAGTCCATGCGCTGGTCTCCACCCCAGTGCTCTGCAGCTTTGGCAGCTGAACACCAAAAACAAAAGCTTACTGGCAGCCCAGAATATTGATATGCTGAAAGAAAAAAAAAAAAAGCAGAAGGGACAAGAGAGGCTGAAGGCATTTCCCAGCCTAAAAACAAACATTCAAGTCCAAGCTCAGCCAGACAGAGCAGAGCTACAGCTCCTGCTCTACACACAGCCCAGCTTCTATCTCTGCTGCTCTCCCAAACCTCCGCTTCCCAATTGCAGCTTCTTAGTCCATTCATCTATGGTGACACAAAGCAGATTCAGCCTCATCAACGTCCTGCCCCAGCTCCCCTCCCCAAGGTTAGATTAGGTTCGCATGGAATAGTTCAATTATCTCCATAACTCCTGGAATGTCCCCCGCTAATTAATTCTTACCACCGTGGCATTTACAGAAAGGGAAGAAATCATCACCTCGAGATTTCACTGCTGTTTAACTCCTCAAAGCAATTTCTTAATGTAATTGCATTTTCTTAAGGACAAAGAAAACTTTGTGACGCCACTTAGCTGGCTTTCTGAGAGGCTGCAGTGAAGGCTGCTGTAACTTGGAGATAGCACCTAATTAATGGGCCTGCCCAGAAGACAACAGCTCCCATCCAAGAAAATGCCGAGCTTTGAGGCCAGTCTTTGCTCTATGTCAGAATGAAAAACGATAGAGAACAGTGGCCTTTTAATATTTTAAAGATTATAATGGAAAGAAACAAATAAAACAACCACCTTACCTCTCCCCCTCCCGAAATGCTTTAAGAATGTTTTAATACCCACACATTGAGTCAGAGAGAAATGCAGGCATCTATTTCTGAAAATTAGGTTAAGAAGATGTCAGTAAGTTGCTTTCCATCTCTGGTAAATGGAGTTTGAACAGCTCTCTTTGTTTAGAAAGAATCTTATCAAAACTCCAACTTTGGCTCAGGCACTGCCCAGCTGTGTGCACTGGGTAGTGAAGCCTATAGGCTCAGCAGGCTGCTGGGTTTAGATACCAACCTAGGAGCTGCTCCTCTTGCTTGTATAAACACACACCTATCTACGTGAATAAACAGCACCCAGGAGATGTGTCCCAGCAACAAGGACTTCAGCACAAGATCAAATGCTCTCTAAATCGAGCAAAATGTGGACTTACAGGTATCAGTCACTGCCATTAGCCCATGGCTTGGCATGGGTCTTTCTGGAACGCTCTCAAAAAAACAAACCAACCAACCACAACAACATAATAAAGTAAAACAAAGCCAGCACAGAAATCACTTTCTAAAGCTTCCGTGACACTTTAATTCACAGACAGCCTCAGCTTTGATAAGATAGCCCGCTGAAAACATCACATTAGATCATCTAACGAGCTGGGGGCTATGACAGCTCCGCTTGTGATTTCGAACGTGCCATAATTCAATTGAGAAACAAAACACAACATGCACCGCAGAAAATGCTTCTGCTGCCCTCTCTAATGAAATGTGAGGCTCTCTAAAAATAAAACAAAGCAAATGCCGCCACAATACATACCCTGGACAGTCCTAAAAATTGCAGTATCCGTTAAAGATCACTACCACCAAGAGGAAAATAAGTCAGCCCTGAGCGGTGTATGCAACAGGTCTGCCCAACAAAGAGCCATTTGCTGGATTTGAGTCGTTGCTTTTGACCTGTGGACAAATTTTGGAACATAGAGACACCAGAGAAAGAAGCAATACAACAACAAAACTCCTGAAGTGCTCCCTCCCATCATTCACCCCAGGCATCCAAAGGGGAACAAACTATTTCCAAGTAAGAAACATAGCCTGAGAGTCCAGGCAGTGGAGGGAGCAATCCCAGCCATGAGCTACCAGTGATGGTGGGCAGCAAAGTGCCACCACAGCTGGTGTGTGCAGCCCCTGCTCTCCCAATGGACTCAGTGGACCTGCATCCCCTCATATGCAAGTTGCTTGGGTTCTGCAAGGTCTGTCCTGCATCTGAAAGAAACCAAGCAGAATAAATTCTGTGGGCTAAGATCTGTATCAGCACCCACTGTATCTCTGATCCAAAGACTGATTCATAGACTTGCAACAATTCTGCACATTTGTCCTGCAAAACCCTTTGCCGCAGCCTGCACGATGCGGAGCTGTTAGCAGCAGTCAGTCTCACAGTGGCTCTGTCTTCCCTCCTGCATGAGACAAGGGAGCCCCTTTGGGTTCATCTATTTTGTTGCTGTCTCTGATAACAAATGCCCTTGCACAGAGCTGAGGTTTGCAGGAGCTGTCTCCAGCCTAGCCAGCAAGCGTGACCCAAGAAGAAAGGAGATTCCTCCTTCCACCCACCTTCAGATCTCAGGGATGCTGAGCTGTGAAGAGATAGGCACAGATCAGATGCCCAGAAGAAACAATAACACAAACACCACCCCAACCCAAATAAGAGCACAGCTTGCTTATGAGTCACACATCCTCCTCCTCCAGTACCTGCCCAGCACATCTCCACCTTGCACTTCTTCCACAGGGATGACTCGAAGGACCTGGTGGCTGCAGTGCTGCAAGGGCAGAACATGAATACCCCAACCCCTGTATTAAAATGAGATGCAGCAGAAGGGCTGAGCCCTCTCTGCCTTATGTCCCCAAACAAATCCCACAAGGGGAACATGTGCAAGAGATCCTGTAGATCAGTGAGCACACTGCACCTCACATCTCAGGACTAGAGGGAATGGCTTCAAGCTGCACCAGAGGAGATTCAGGCTGGATGTTAGGAAATACTGCTTCCCTGAAAGAGTGGTCAGGCACTGGAATGGGCTGCCCAGGGAGGTGGTGGAGTCACCAACTCTGGAGGTGTTCAAGGAACGTTTGGATTTTGTGTTGAGGGACGTGGTTTAGTGAGAACTATTGGTGATGGGTGCATGAGTGGACTGGATGATCTTGAAGGTCTTTTCCAACCTTGGTGATTCTGTGATCTCAGCAAGGCCAAGTGACTCTGAGCTCAAACAGCCAGTGGTAAAGCAGCCATGTGTCCTGAAACACAACCAGCATAAGCAGATAATAGAAATGGCCTGGGTTGCACAGGAGCACAGTGCTCATCCAGCTCCAACCCCTGCTGTGTGCAGGTCACCAACCAGCAGCCCAGGCTGCCCAGAGCCACATCCAGCCTGGCCTTGAATGCCTGCAGGGATGGGGCATCCACAGCCTCCTTGGGCAACCTGTGCCAGTGCCTCACCACCCTCTGGCTGAAAAACTTCCTCCTCATATCCAACCTCAACCTCCCCTGTCTCAGTTTAAAGCCATTCCCCCTTGTCCTATCACTATCCACCCTCACAAACAGCCATTCCCCCTCCTGTTTATACTCTCCCTTCAAGTATTGGAAGGCCACCATGAGGTCTCCCTGGAGCCTTCTCTTCCCCAAAAGATCTGCACTAACACAACAGCATGAGAACTATCCATAATAGTTCATTTGTATTTTCCCAGGCACGATTGCTGCAAGTAATTTAATCCTGATCAGGAAGACTGCTAATAAGACAGAGCTTACTGAATGAAATGGGCTCCACTTGTAAAGCTTGGGCCAGAATTTGTATTCCGATTCCATTGTGAACAGGTGAACAAATGCACAGATAAACAAACAAATGCAAAAGTGTTCCTGAGGTTGTGTTTTGGACAGCCAGATTTGTTTTTGTGTCCAGCAGTTTTATACAGAAGGAGTAAAGTCCAACACTTAATTGTTTCCTTCCTCCCCTAGGGTTCCATAACATTTTATGTTATTTCTTCCAAGATTTTTTTTTTGCTGATGTTAACACATAATTGCCTTTTTGTTTTCAGTAAACCTATATATTTCTATTTCCTTTCTTCCAGCTGTTTCTTCTACTGTTGTAGTTCGTCTAGCCTTTCACCCAATTTTATCAAGCTCTTTTTTATCTCCAAAATTGAATTTTCAAGGTTATTGAAGAAACATGTTTTTCTCTATTTCCATTTCCTTTCTGAGCTGCACCACGGCTTGTGTTCGATGTAGTCTGGAGCTCAGCATAGTTAGGGGTGTTCTGGGTTTATTCTGCCTCATCACTGTGACAAATGTGCAGGTACCCAGTGCAATGTCCTTCCTGAACGCTCTGTGGTTTCCCCTTTTCTTGATCGTAAGATGAGAACTGACTTTTAATCAAACGTCTTCATTACGTTTAAATGATTTGAACAATATTTACAGAAACCTACCAGGTCAGTCCAGTGCTTGATTCTCTATGACTGGGATCATAAGTGTGACAGGGTCCTAGGAAGGGACCAGCAGCTTTTGCTGCTCCAGCAAGATGCTCATAAATATATATAGGATCTGATGGGATTAATTCCATGATGCTCAAAGAGCTGCCTGATAGCACCATGAGACCTCTCTCAATTAATTTTCCATAGATTTGGGAATCTGGAAAGGTCCCAGTCAACCTCTGGCAAAAGGCTGTTCCAATTAACGAGGGCAAACCAAAAGATGCTGGTAATTACAAGCCTGCCAGCTTTGGTGATTGGCAAAATTATGGGGGTTGTCCTGGGAATTACTGAAAAACATTTCAAGACAACGCATAGGAAAAGCCCCATTTAACACAATTTCCTTTAGTGACAGTTAACCATCTAGGGGACAGCTCTCTGTGACAGCAACAGGGTCCAAGGGAACACATGGAGCTGTGTCAGGGGAGGGCAGGGGGGGTGAGGACAAGGCTGTGCCCCAGAAGGCAGTGGGCATGGCACAGCTGCAGGGCAGTGGGCACAGCCGCCAGTGCTGGAGCTCAGGGAGCGCTGGGCACTGCTCTGACATTGGGTTTGGTGGTGCTGTGTGGGGCCAGGGGTTGGATTTGATGATCCTCGTGGGTCCCTTCCAGCATGAGATATTCTATGATCCTATAATTTATTTTAAATGCATTTTACACAACACAAGTGCGATGCACAACTGCAGAAACCAGAGGAACCAGGCATTTGCTATTTCTGATCATTTCTGTAGAAAGCTACGCACACAACTCCAGTAGCCCTTTCTGATTGTAACAACTAGTCCAATTAATGAGAATTTCACGTGCTTCTCAGGCACTGCACCCAGGAACACAAGAATACCCTGTATGACAGACCTGCTGACCAGCTATCAGTCCAGTAAGCATAAGCCTTCTGATAAATCTTGATGCCATCATCACTAAAAATCTACATGCATTTACAATTAATATGTAGACATCTACATATTCTTGCATGACATTATTTTTCAGAGCTTTTTCCTCCTCTATGACAGCCCCAGTATCTACTTCCAGAAAGCAATTGCATCTCTTGGTATTTCCTCATAAGTTTTCATCTTGTCATGCACCATCAAGTCCTACTTTACCTGTGTTCTTTTTCAAGTCCAATCATCACCAACACGCACTCAAATGCACAGATGAGGTCTCCACGCTGTCTTACAAGAAGGTTTAGAGAAATAATTATCTTTCCATTCAGCTTTCTGTGCCAGCAATACATTGGTGGTATCTCTATTACCTACTGCAGCCTGGCAGACCCCTCCCTATATCCATTCCAGACACAACCAATCGCCATAAGCAATACATCTGCCTTCTTCTCCAAGCACAGTAGCTTCATTTTAACCTAAAAAAAACCTTCTTCCATCTCTAAAATCACTGAGGTCTTTTCTGTATAACTCTATTTTCCTCTATATGAGCAATACCTCCCAGGCAGACTTCTGCTAAAGCAGAACGATGCACATTTGGCATTTGTCTGCTGGTGGGCTTTGATTGAGTTTACTTTCGAAAATGAGAAGCAAAAGCCTGGACAAAGTGCACGAGCAGTGCAGGTGAATTGTCTCTGGCAACCACAGGACAGATTCACTGAGTACCTGCAAGCGCCCTGTGGCGCACAGCTCACAGTGAACAGCACGAGCAGCATCCACCAAATCACACCCATCTTTTGTGCCAGCCCATCACCGAGACATTAAGCACGGCTGCCCCCTGCTCTGCCTTTGAGGAACTCCTCTCTTCAGAGCAACACTTCTCTCTCAAACACCGTTGCTGCTTCTGAGCCAGTCACGTCAGGTGCTTGCTAGATGTACCCAAACACGCTGCTTCTGCGACATGAAGCACAGTTTTGTAGAGCAAAAAATGGACACAGCACATCCCCCTTAGCTCAAAATTCACACTACTGTATTGTTTCCCACTAATTCCATACACCATCAGTATTCATCAAGCTGCAGTTAGCCCTACCGTTTCTTTCACTTTGTCACTTAAGCTAGTCCTGTTCCTTTGAGACCTGGTACTTTTTGCACAAACTTGGTTTCTTGTTCTGGCCTGGACTGTATTTATTTCACCTAATTATTAACACTGTAAAAGCCTCCTCCATTCCTGCCTGTGACTCAAAGAGAAAGAAAACTTTACTGCATGACCTGAAACAACATAAAACAGTTAAGAAAGAAACACAGACAACTTGAGTCCTGATCCAAGCAAAATCCAACACCTGAAGTACGGTTTCACAAGTTATTTCTGGTAATTTCTATTTTCATATTCTTCCTGACCTCACCCATCCCATAACTACTGACATGCTTCTGGACACCATAGAATCACAGAGGCCCACCACCACCAGCATGGACTCAGTTCATTTGCTTACAGTGGAAAGGCCAAACTGCTCCACACCCCTTGAGAATTTGACTTCAGCCTAATAATAACCTCCTAATGAAGTAAATCATTGTAGAAGCAGCAGAACTAATTGTAATGCAGTGGAAAACACAGCAATGACAGCAGAGTAGCAGGGTCCTAGGCTGCAGCAAATGAGGATTTACTCAAATACAACAACCATGCACACAGAAACAAAAGAAAGAAGCAGCTTACCTTCAGAAGGCCTCAGACATGAAGAGATCTCTAGTGCCAACCCTTAAATGAGGGCTGGGAAGTGCAGTGCATGCACCTGAGCTCCCCTGGGTTGGTCCTGCCTTCAACCAGGTGCTCAAATCACTGCTTCAAGCCATGACTTAGCATTTCTGCTACACTAATGACCTGCTGTCTTGTGTTTTCCTCTCCTCTTTTCCGCATAGATTCTCTAATCTTTAAGTGGCTTCTGCACTGGTTTTGAAATGGGGAAACAGGTCTCTGTATTCTGTGCAGCCATTTATGGTAATACAGTACATGCGCCTGTGCTTCTTGGTGTTCTGCTGCTAGCAATAATTAGCTAAAATTACTGACCACAGAAAATTTTTTTGTACAGAGAGAAAAGCGAGCACACAGAGATATACAGTAACCAGGCACAAAAGAAAGTACATATAAAAATACATAAATGGTATCCTGGTCTCCATCAGCAGAAGGGTTGCCAGCAGGGACAGGAGGTGATTGTCCCCCTCTGCTCTGCTCTTGTGAGGCCCCATCTGCAGTGCTGTGTGCAGGTCTGGAGCCCCCAGTACAAGAAAGACAGGGAGCTGTTGGAGAGGGTCCAGAGGAGCCACAAAGATGAGCAGGGGGCTGCAGCACCTCCACTACAAAGACAGGCTGAGGGAGCTGGGCTTGTTCAGCATGGAGAAGAGAAGGCTGCGGGGTGAGCTCAGTGCAGCCTGCAGTGCCTAAAGGGAGCCTGCAGACAGGAGGGGAGT